GGGGGGGGGGGGGGGGGGGGGGGGGGGGGGGGGGGGGGGGGGGGGGGGGGGGGGGGGGGGGGGGGGGGGGGGGGGGGGGGGGGGGGGGGGGGGGGGGGGGGGGGGGGGGGGGGGGGGGGGGGGGGGGGGGGGGGGGGGGGGGGGGGGGGGGGGGGGGGGGGGGGGGGGGGGGGGGGGGGGGGGGGGGGGGGGGGGGGGGGGGGGGGGGGGGGGGGGGAGTGGGGAGGGTTGTCAGTTAACACATGTAAAATGTCCCGAACAGTTCTTGACACGCTTTAATAGCTATTGGCTATTACTAGCACTCATACTGGGTGGGTCCCTTATATTCTGTCGCTTTGACCCTGTGGAACTTGATCACCAACTGTAGGATTAAATTGCTAACCAAGCCCTGTTTATTTTCAGAGCTGGAAGAGCCTCTATTATCCTCATAATAAATAGAATTCGAGAGAGGCTTCAGCGAATGAAGCCTATAAAAGAGAAGGCATGTCGAAGATTCAGGTAAAGTAGGTGACCTAAGGGAATTTGGGAGACATTATTCAATGGCCTGTGGTATGCACTGTACCTTTCCCCCCCTTTGCATGGTGTTGGGAGCGAGGGTTGGGTAGTGTGGAAGCACACACCATAGCCTATCCTCCCAGGAAAGTGCTGGCTCTTGGACCCTACTGGCTCTAACACTTGCTAATGAGGTGACCTGGGACAGGTTACTTAATTTACTTATGCCTTCATTTCCTCGTCTGGAAAATATGCAAAATAATAGGATGCACTTTTTTAAAGATTTTTTAGAGAGAGAGCAAGGGAGAAAAACATTTATGTGAGAGCAAAACATTGATTGGCTACACTCCCCCTATTAGGGATTGAGCCTGCAACCTGGGCATGTGCCCTGACCAGGAATCAACCCAAAACCTTTTGGTACACCGGACAACATCCAACCAACTGAGCCACGCTGGGCAGGGCAATAGCACTTTTAAGAACATTCTATAGATTCATTGAGCTAACACATTAATAATGTCTAACAATAGGAAATTATTAATCCAGTTTAGTATCATTTTATTATGCTTTGTGAATGTGATACCACCTGAGATTCAGAGTAGATGGCAGAAGAAACAGTAAAAGGGAATTTGCTCCTGAATTCATTCAATCAACATAGTCAATACAGGCACCAGGAACAGAAAGATGGATACTATCTCACACAATTCAAGCAGTTCAGTAGGTATGTTTTATGCTTTCAAAAAATATGAAATAGAAGCCCTGGCTGGGTGGCTCGGTTGGAGCATCATTCTGTGTACCAAAAGGTTTTGGGTTCGATTCCCAGGCAGGGCATATACCTAGGATGTTGGTTCCATCCCTGTCAGGGTGTGTCCAGGAAGCAGCTGATCAATGTATCTCTCTCATATTGATGTTTCTCTCTTTCTCTCCCCCTGCCCGTTCCTCTCTCTAAAATCAATAAAAACATATCCTCGGGTGAGAATTTAAAAATATATATATATATATAAATAAAAAAAGAAACTGATGTCTTAATCTTTAGATATTCTGGTACTTCATCAGACCCATGGATGGCATTTTGAGGGAAATGTTACAAAAATGTTGACAGAATCCTCAAAGACTACCTTGTACTTCTTCCTTCTCTTGTATAGAAAATCTGCCAAGACGAGGAGGGTGACCCAGGGGAAGCCATCTTCAGGGCCGGGTAAGAAAGACTGGAGGTTTTGTTCAGCTGATGGCTCCCCACCTCAGCAAAGACTACCTGTATAGGGCAGCAAACTTGGTCCTCTCACTGTCAATCCTACTTCCTTCCCAGATTATTTAAGATGCTGAGAACTCAGGGTGTGTAATTTTTAAATGTCACATCCAAAGTTCAAGAAACAAGTTAATAAGGCCACTTAAGACAAAAAACTATGAAGTGAGCAATTGTAGCCAATTCCTTCAAATGTGGCCAAAATGATATAAAGACCAAGTGATACCAAATAACACTTCATCCCAACCTCCCTCCTTATCAAAATGACCCTCTTCCCAATACTGTCCTCCTCTGAGTATGTAGAGAGATGGTTATGCTCCCAAAGTGAGTTCTTAACGTTCTGTCTTCCAGTATGCCGGCTATGCCTCCAAGAACCTGGGGATCCTGAAAAATTAGGGGAATTTCTTCAGAAAGACAATCTCAGCGTGCACTATTTCTGTCTTGTGAGTATAAGGCCCCCTTTGCTTTGAATAGCTCATCGCTTTTGCTATACAGTCTGTTCTCTGTTTTTGTATCCAGCCTCAGATCCACAGCCCTGTTTGTTTTCCTTAATAGATTTTTTTTTTGAATAGTAATATACATACCTGGTATAAAATCTTAACAATATAAAAATATATACAATAAAAAGTCTCTTCCCAAAACAGTATTCCCCATCTTTCACATTTTCCCCATATACATAAATCTTATTTGGGTGTTCATGGCATACCTAAACTCTCCTAGAACCTCAATCTGCCTCCCCCTTCCAAAGTACTCTGAGGAAGAAAAGTTCACCTTGTTTGGCTCAGCAGTAATCCTATATAATAAAAGGCTAATATGTAAATAGACCGAAAGGTAGAACAACTGAACAACCGGTGACCACCAGGGGGTGCACGTGGAACATGGCGGGCGACAGCCACAGCGGGATGGTGGAGCAGGTGAGTGGAGAGCGCCAGACCAAGGCAGGGCACCGGTCACTGTCATCGGGGCAAGCCTCTGGTGGTTACTGAAAATTCTTTGCTCCCGTGCCACGGTCGCTCCCGTGCCACGGTCCCACCCAGCACTCGCACCCACTGCCGGCGCGGGAGCCACCATTTGCACCCACTGCTGGCACCCAGCGTCGGCCCCAATTGCTGGGCACCGTCAGCGGGTGCAAGCAGTGGCTTCTGGCCCTAATCGCCCCTTAGGGCTTCTCCACCTCCCCCTGCTCCTGAGGGGCGATCAGGCAGCAGCTGACACTCTCACTCCGCTGACGGTACCATCCCCGCTTGCACCCACTGCTGGGTGCTGGCCCCAATTGCTCAGCAGGTGTGAGTGGGGCCGGCATCATCAGCTCATGGGAGTGACGTTGGCAGGAGCAGGGCTGCGGCAGACAGAACCAGGGACGCAGCAGAAGGGGCCAGGCGGGAAGGGCCGGGGTGGGGGTGCAGAGGATGAGCTGAGACCTGCCCCTGTGCCCGCAGCAGCCTCACATCTCAGTTCCTTTCAAGGTGCACGAATTTGTGCATTGGGCCCCTAATGTTATATATAATGTATGTCCCCATGTAAACACTGAATCAAAATAAATATTTCCATCATCCTACAAAGTTCCCTCCTCCCCTTCCAGTCAGTCCCCTCAGAGATAATCACTGATCTGTAGATTACTTTTGCCTATTCTTATGCTTCATATAAATGGAATCATACAATTTGTACTCTTTTGTGTCTGGCTTCTTTCACTCAATGCAGTGTTTTAGAGATTGATCCATGTTGTTGCATGCGTTGGTAGCTTTTTTATTCCCCAATAGTAGTCTGTTGTGTGAATATATTTTAATTTGTTTATCCACCTGTTGATGGACATTTAAATTGTTTCCATTTGGGGGCTATTATCAATAAAGCAGCTGTGAACATTCATGCACAAGTCTTTTTGTGAACATGTGTTTTCACTTCTCTTGGGCAAATGCCTAGGAGTAGAATTACTGGTTGTATGTTAACTGTGTGTTTTAACTTTATGTGAAGTTGCCAAGTCACTTTCCAAAGTGGTTGTACCAATTTACACTCCCACTAGCAATTTATGAAGTTCCAGTTGCACAATATTCTTGCTAGAACTTGATATTGTCAGTCTTTTAAATATTACCCATTTTACAAGGTGTGTGCACTGTGGTTTTAATTTGAATTTATCTGATGACTTAAGTATTGAGCTTCTTTTCATGTGCTTATTGGCCATTTACATATTTCCTTTTATGAAGTGTCTGAACAAATATTTTGTCCATTTTAAAAATTGGATTCTGTTGTCTGATTGAGTTGTAAGAGTTCTTTTTTCTTTTTTCAATGTTTTTTATTGATTTGAGAGAGAGGGGAAGGGAGAAGGGGAGCCCGTATGTTCCCTGACTGGGAATCAAACTGGCAACCTCTTGGTGCATGAGTTGATGCTCAACCACTGAGCCACACCAGCTGGGCGTAAAAGAGTTCTTTATATATTCTGGCTACCAGTCTCTTTTCAGATATGTGTATTGTGACTATTTCCTCCCTGTTGTGGTTTGCCTTTTCATTTTCTTTAGACCCCAGAGGTCTCAGTGGGCACCCCGCACAGCTGAGATATCCCTCCGGAACTTCAGCTGCTGTCTGGGAAGCCCAGCCAGCCTTTTGCACCTCCGCACTGCCTACCAGTCTCTATGTGGTCTCCACTTTCCATCCTCGGTTATCAGGGTTCTCTCCAGCTAGTCTTCAGTTGATTATTCAGGATGGTTTTTCTGTATTTTAGTTGTAATTCCAGTTTGATCCTGGGAGCATGTCAGTGTAGCTTCTACTTACTCTGCCGCCATTTTGGAATCTGTGGGACAAGTCAGTTTTGATGGGAAAGAGAAGAGTGGCTGAATAAGTCTGTTTTAATTACAGTTTTAATCTCTTCCAGAAATGTAATCTTAACTTGTCTGGGATTTTCTGTTTTCATTTTATTAATGATGGCTTTTGAAGAACATAAGTTTTTAATTTTGATGAAGTCCAGTTTATCAATTTTGTTTTTTATCATTAATGCTTTTTTGTGTGTCCCAAGAAATCTTTGCCTACCCATTGAATTATCTCGGTGTCTTTTTCAAAATCAATTGAGCATATATCTGTGCATCTTAGTGATCTATTTATGTTGTTGATTTGTATGTCGATTCTTACACCAGTGCAACACTGTCTTGATTGTGACTTTAGAGTGTCTTGAAATTAAGTATTGTAAGTTGCATTATTTTCCAAGATTGTTTTGGTTATCAGTTCCTTTACCATATAAAGTTTATAGTTAGCTTTAAATTTTTCTCTTAAAAAAAGCCTTTTGGAATTGTGATGGGGAATTGCATTGTAGAATGGACAAACAATATTGAATCTTCCAATCCATGGACATGATATAGTGCACCATTTGTTTGGGTCTTTTAAAATATATCTTAACAATTTTCTAATATATTTTTATTGATTTCAGAGAGGAAAGGAGAGGAAGAGAGAGATATAGAAACATCAATGATGAGAGAGAATCATTGATCGGCTGCCTCCTGCACGCCCCCAACCGGGGATCGAGCCCACAACCTAGGCATGTGCCCTTGACCGGATCGAACCCAGGACCCTTCAGTCCACAGGTCGACTCTCTATCCACTGAGCCAAACCAGCCAGGGATAGAGATAGAGATAGAGATAGAGATAGAGATAGAGATAGAGATAGAGATAAGAAAAATCAATGATGAGAGAGAATTATTGATCAACTGCCTCCTGCACGTCTCACACCAGGGATCAAGCCCACAAACTGGACATGTGCCCTAACCAGGAATCAAACCATGACCTTCTGGTTCATAGATCAAAGTCAACCACTGAGCCATGCCAGCTGGGCAGCAATTATTTTTAATGAAGAAGACTTTCACATCTTTTGTTAAATGTATTTATAAATATTTTGTGATTTTATGCTATTTTAAAATTTCATTTTCAGGTTTGTGGCTGCTATATAGAGATGCAATTTATTTTTGTACATTGATTTTATATCTTGCAATCTTGTTAAATTCAAGTATTAGTTCAGTAGTTATTTTTGGTGGTTTTTTTTGTAAATACCTTAAGGATTTCCTATGTATATAATTATGTGTGAATAAAGACAGTTCTTCCTTTCCAATCTTTATGTCTTTTATTTATTCTTCTTGACTTTTTGTACTAGCTGGGGCCTTCAATCTAGTGTTGAATAGAAGTTTTGTGAGTAAATATCCTTGTCTTGTTTCTAACATCAGAGGACAGTATCTAATGTTTCACCTTTAAAATTTGATGTTAGCTATAGGTTTTTCATGGGTTCTTTTCATTATATTGAATAGGTTCCCTTTTATATCTAGTTTGTTGGAGGGTAGCATGAATGTGTTTTGAATTTTGTCAAATACTTCTTTCTGCATCTATTGAGATGCTCATGATTTTCCCCCTTAATTTGTTGATGTGATTTGTTCTAGCTATTGAATTGTTTTATATTAAACTAACTTTGCATTTCTGATGTAAACCCTGCTTGGTCATGATGTTTTATCCTTTTTATATGGTGCTGGATTCAATTTGTTAATAATTTTGTTTCGTTTTTACATCTATGCTCATGAGAAAGATTGGTCTGTGATTTTCCTTTCTGGTTTTGGTGTCAGGTCTTGATTAATTTCAGTGCATTTACAAGCACATACATTTCCAACATAAAAATACACTATACACAGTGTTTTGTATTTGTATTTTGCTTTTTTATGGTCATTCCATATTTAACATATTGATCTAGTTCTTTTCTTTTTAATAGCTAGTTGGTATTCCATGGTATGGTTACGCCAAAAAGTATTAAAACAAACCTCTATTAAAGGACATTTAGATTGTTTCTAATCTTTTTTAAAATATATTTTTATTGATTTCAGAGAGGAAAGGAGAGATAGAAACATCAATGATGAGAGAGAATCATTGGTTGGCTGCCTCCTGCACACCCACTACTGAGGATCAAGCCTGCAACCCAGGCATGTGCCCTTAAACCGGAATTGAACCCAGGACTCTTCATTCCACAGGCCAACATTCTATCCACTGAACCAAACCAGCTAGGGCTATTTGTAATCTTTCACTGTTGATTTTCCTGTTTATTAATGCATGCTCATTGTAGAAAACAGTAATACTTAAAAGTATATATAACACTGAAATCACTCATATAGTCCTAAAGCTCTGAGATAATTAGTGTTAAAATAGATATGTTTTAAGCCTAATTGAGAATATACGGCTATAATCCAAGTGTCAAGTTGTCTAACCTTGTAGGGTCACCTTTTCTTTCATGTTGAAATAACCTGAATCCCCATTCATATAACATGCAAGTACTGTAGGAAGTCCAGCACCCTCTCCAGTATTTTTGGAAGATTCTTGGAGTGGGGCTGGGGTGCTGGACACATATATGTACACATGCGTTGTTTATGAGTACATAACAGTTTAGCTTCTTTTTCCTTGATTTCCCATTCTTGACTCTGCTTTGGGGGCTTTTCAGAAACAAAGGGCCCTTTAAAATGTGTTTTTAAAGAAAAGTTCAATTCCTCCCCTTTCGCAATAAGGCAGAGTGACTACAATTAGAACATTTTAAAGCCCCATTTCCCTTCCTATACAAAGCACACTCTGAGAAGAGTATTTATTCTATACCTAGGGGTCAATACAGCAGAAGGGGTAAGAGTGTGGGTTCTGGGGGCTTGGGTGTGAATGCCAGTTCTTCTGCCTCCTTGCTGTGTGACCCCAGCCATGCTTGCTTACCGTGCTGCACTTCAGTGGCCTCCTCTGTAAGATGAGGATCACAATAGCATCTGTATCACAGGGTTGTGGTAAGCATAAAATAGTCAATACCCAGGGAATGTTTCCCCAAAGTGCTCAGCACACAAAAGCAGCCCTTAATAAATGAGAGGCACAAAGGTGGGTAAGAGCTCAGGTTCTGCAGTTCTGTGGTCTTGAGCATGTCACATAATTTCTCCTATAAAATGGGGGTGATGGTAGTACCCACCTCTTAAGGTGGTTATGAGGATTAAATGAGTTCATATTTGAAAAGCACTTAGAGCAGTGGTTCTCAACCTTCCTAATGCCGCGACCCTTTAATACAGTTCCTCATGTTGTGGTGACCCCCAACCATAAAATTATTTTTGTTGCTACTTCATAACTGTAATTTTGCTACTGTTATGAATCGTAATGTAAATATCTGATATGCAGACTGTATTTTTATTGTTACAAATTGAACATAATTAAAGCATAGTGATTAATCACAAAAACAATATGTAATTATATATGTGTTTTCCGATGGTCTTAGGCGACCCCTGTGAAAGGGTCGTTCGACCCCCAAAGGGGTCGCGACCAACAGGTTGAGAACTGACTTAGAGCATCCAACTTATAGTTAAGGTTACGTAAGCCCTTATTAAGTAAATTACTCTGTAAATGTATATATATTCCACCAAGCTCTGTTTCTACTCTGTCCTCCTCTACCCCACTGCACTTTTTCACTGATCATCAATGTTGACAGCCTGGTTCTGCTGGCCCCCCACTCCCCAGATTCTATCTAGCAAGCTGCCTCAGCGGGGCCAGTCTAACAGAGGTTTCCATGGATTCCTGCCTGAAGACATCAAAAAGGAGGCAGCCCGGGCTTCTAGGAAGGTTAGAATCCCTGGAATGAGGGCCTTGGGCGAGGCCTCTTTTCATACCTCCCTGATCATCCCTGCCTCGGCTCTTTTCCCCTAGTTGCTAATTTAGAAGTCAAAGGACTCCTGGATTTCCCAACTGGTCCTTCTCTTAAGTTCCATGCTTCTCTGGGGCATAGTATCCAAGTGAGGAGAGGGAGCCACATCCTGGGAAAACAAAATAATTCAGTGCTGCTTGAAGCTCCAGAGCTTTCAGGTCCACTGAGGAAAGGGAATGCTCGTTGCTTCACAGAATTTCCATTCCAAAGAATGACATTCCACAGAATGTCTGTTTGTCTTTCTTGGGATCCTGAGCACTGCCTGGGATCTCATTTGCAGATCTGCTTTGTGTGCAAGAAAAAGGGAGCTGCCATCAACTGCCAGAAGGATCATTGCGTCAGAAACTTCCATCTCCCTTGTGGCCAAGAAAGGGGTTGCCTTTCACAATTTTTTGGAGAGTACAAGTGAGTGATGAAGGGGAAAAGTCGGGTTGCCCTTTTGCAACTTGCTTTTAATTAGCCACTAGTCAAATCAGAGTCTAGTTCTCACGGGCCTGTTTTGATTCACCAGGGAATCTGTCCCTCCATTCAATGAGAAACAGTGTCTTGACTTGGCAATTTCACAGGGGTTACTTCTTCCTTCCGTCCCCTTCTTAAATTACAAACAGCTGAGGTTCTTAGACAGCTGCTCAGAACGAAGTGGGGTTTTCAGGAATGAGAGGTGCTGTAGAGATAGTCCCGGGAGTTTTGCTCAGTGGGAGAGCAGCTGTGAGAAGGCTGTTCTTCACCCTCCTTCTCCTCCTCTCCATCCCCTCCCCTCTGAGCACGGAGGAGGTTCTCTGGGCACCAGCCTGGGAGTTGATTGCCCTCCCTAAGTCAGGCAGCTGGAAAACTCCATCAAGATAAATCAAAACCAAGTTTATTTACTCTGCCACAGATCATTTTGTGAAAAACATCGCCCAACACAGGACATCCACCGGGGGAATGCGGGAGAGGAAAGCTGCGTCTTGTGTTGTGAAGACTTATCCCAAGCAAGTGTTGAAAATATCCAGAGTCCATGCTGTAGTCAAACTATCTACCACCGCAAGTGCATACAGGTGGGGCTTTCTCTGCCCAGAGGACCTTCCACAATTGTCCTAGTTCAGAGCCCCTTGGGAATGCTCAGGCAATCTCAACAGGAGGCCTGTCTGCAGGGCTGGTTCCAGGAAGTCAGAGGAAAGTCAGCCCTTGACCTATAGGATCTCCTTCATGATAAGATTTAGACTGAGCAAAAAATCCTTAGGATGACTAGAGCATCGTAGAATGAGTTAAGTAGCCTCCAAATCAGCTTGCTTCCTCAGATGGAAGGAAAGAGAAACATATTCAGGTACCCGAGCCCTACTGGGTTAGCACTGCCAAGCCTTATGGCCAGAGATGACAGCTAAGGCACTCCTGGGAACTTTCTTAAGCTTTTGGTCCCTGGTCTAGCACTGTAATATGCAGCCCTCCACCCTAACCCACCCAAATTCCTTTTCCTGTAAGCCCCAGTCAGGCTTTCTTAGCAACATTCTCTTTGTGAGATGAGGGTGAAGGTGGAAATAAGGTCATCAAAGATAGAGTTTTTACAAACACAAAGTTTTTCCATGTTTCTCTTACAGAAATATGCCCACACATCAGCAAAGCATTTCTTCAAATGTCCACAATGCAACAATAGAGAAGAGTTTCCTCAAGAAATGCTAAGAATGGGAATTCACATTCCAGACAGGTAGTGGAAACTCTAAAGCAGGAATTGAGCCAGGGACTGGGTTGCCTAGATTTCTAGAGAGGAGGTGAGCGTGAGGATAGTTTGGAGAATGAAGAAGCAGCCAAGACATTGTTACATGGTGAAGAGGAAATGGGTAGAGGGAGAGCGTTTCAATTATCAAAAGGAAAGGGGGAGGATTGAGAGTTGGGGGATAGGCATGTTTCTGAAAAGGGTGCTTTGGGGATCAGAATTCCCTGGGTGAGGGGTAGGTTCTCCAATTCCAGTGTGAAACTAAGGAACCCCTATGTTCCATTCATTTGGCTTCAACCCTCTCCCACTGTTAGGCCACCTTCCCAACCTTGCTGAAATTATTCAGGCGGCCTGTTGAACTCCTTTGCTGTGCTAGTTTGAGTTCTTTCTAGTTCTTCCCAGGAGGACAGTGGTTTCACCAACCAATAATGTGTCCCTTACTGTTTCTTCTCCCACTGCAGAGATGCTGCCTGGGAACTCGAACCAGGGGCTTTCTCAGAGTTGTATCAGCGCTATCAGCATTGTGATGCCCCCATCTGTCTGTATGAACAAGGCAGAGACAACTTTGAGGACGAAGGGTAGGGAAAGGCTTCTGGCTAGAAAGATCTCTCATCAGTGCCATCTTAGAGTTAGACCTTGGCACAGTTATTAAGAGCAAAGAATTCACTTTTGTCTGCAGAGCACAGGGCAAACACATCGCAGCCCGGGACTCATTCACGTGAACAGGTCCCTCTGCAGGTCTGCTTCTCCTTGAGCCCAGTGGAGAGATACTCAGGGCCAATTCCTTTTCAAATCCGCCTTTCGAGTGTCTGTGCCTAACTGCAAGGTCCTGAGATCAGCACACAGCCACACATTCATCATGGGTAAAATGTACAGCAAACGATGCCTGGGAAGCCCTCAGCAAAGGCCTACCTTATAGTGACATCCCGAAGCGGTAGTTAGTGTTATATTTGTGCCCACAACCCTTCCTTGTCTTCCTGTAGGAGGTGGAGCCTTGTTCTATGTGCTACATGTGGATCCCGTGGAACCCATAGGGACTGCTCCTCTCTTAGATCCAACAGTAAGAAATGGGAGTGTGAGGAGTGTGCACCTTCGCCTAAAGTCACAGGTGGGACTGAGGGATGGTCTGGTCTAAGGACTGGGGTGGGATGGGGTTGGGGGGACTTGTGCCTAAGAAAGGAGGAGGGCATGCCACCAGATGGGGACTCCGTGGTGCCTTTAGTTTGGGAAAGAAAGTGGCTATGGAAGGGCTTAAGGACCTGCACTTGGGAGAGAGAGGGCTGAGTTTTCCTCTCCCACCTTTCTTTCACCACAGACTACATATCTGAAAACTCAGGTGACATCCCCTGCTGCAGCATCTTCTACTCTGGGGGGGCATGACTGCAGAGACACCAGCCTGGAAGAGAATTCGGGCCCTTCTTGGACTGATTGGCCAGAACCTTCTTTATTAGAAAAACCAGAATCCTCTGGTGGCAGGAGGGGCCACTCCTGGTGGTCCAAGGGTGTCAAATCACTAAAAGCTGCAACAAATACAAGTAACAGCTTCTAAGTAGTTGCTGCCAAGCACATTTGGTTACAAAGCTGTGCTCCTCCACCAAGTTTGGGAAGGGAGCCCTTTGGGACTGTAAGACCAGGAAAGGGGGGCCCCAGCAGTGAGACTATGAACAAGGAAAGAGAAGTCCCAGAGAGTGAGAACAGAGCAGTCCAGATGCCAACCGCAGAACATGTATATGGCTATGGTAGCTAGCACCTCTGCTCTTTCTGTCTGATTCCCAGAGGGCCCTTTCTTCTCTTCTCCCACCAAGATTGTTCCACCCTCATCTGGTGCTCATATGCCTCTCTTACTTCACCCAGGTTTGTTATGCAAATAAAGACTTTCTCTCCATTGGTGTCTCCTTATAAATTCACTCTGGATTTTATCTAGCACAGTAAGGAATCTGGAGGGTAGAATGAGGGAATAGGAAAACTAAAATTCAAAGACTTAAATGTAGAATTTTCAATTTAGAACATAGACACATTGCTTTGGAGGGAAGTATTTTGCAGGAAAATCGACTTTATAGAGGCAGATGTCATCATTGTGCAAATAAACACACAGGTTCTCATTAGGGAGGTGAGCCAGCAAAGGAGTCCACACTGGACTGAGAATAGGCCACTACTACAAGGCCTGGGGCCCTGGACTCAAACAGGCCAGGGACTGCCGTGCTCATGTGGGGCAGAAGGGACTCCACTAACCTCCACAGCATGAGTGAAGACACACCTCCACACACACCCTCTCAGCCTGGTGGCTCGGGCATTTCCGGCAGGTAGGGAGCCAGGCCAAAACAGTTACATTAAGCAGGCAGCTAGGATGAGAATCTGGCTGAAGGTCTTGGGAGAAATTGAATAGAACCTATCTCAGGTTTGTTTGTTTATGATGATTTTGTGTGATTTGGATTAGTAGGGCGAACTCAGGACCAGCACTAGATAGTGAGTTCTAGGGGGCTCACTGGGTCATTGTCACTAACGGCAGAGGATGGGGTTTTTGGTTCAAATATTGCTGTTCCTGGAGATTTATATCGAGTTGTGCATGGTGCTTGCCTTCAGATTTGAACAGTTTCACTTGGAATCACACGACAGTGGTGGGGGATTGTAATTTGTGTCTTTTGTTATTTAAGTATATAAACTAATATAGACTTAAAAATCTTAAAGAAGTACAAAAAGGATTATAATGAAAAATAGTCTATTGACTCACCCTTCCTACTCTTAGTCCTCCCTAAAGGCAACAACTTTCCACTTCTTTTAGCCACTTCTTTCTTTAGGAATCTTAGACATTATTGACTTCCTATTATGTTACATAAATTTCTAGCACCTTTAAACCTTCCCCTTTTCATTCTATTTTATAATTGCATCACCATTTTTTTTAAATATATTTTATTGATTTTTTACAGAGAGGAAGGGAGAGGGATAGACAGTTAGAAACATCGATCAGCCGCCTCCTGCGCACCTCCTACTGGGGATGTGCCCGCAACCAAGGTACATGCCCTTGACCGGAATCGAACCTGGGACCTTTCAGTCCGCAGGCCGATGCTCCATCCACTGAGCCAAACCGGTTAGGGCTGCATCACCATTTTTAAGCCAGGCAATATACCATGATTGTTTTTCCTCTCCTGTACATTTTTTAGTGAAATAAATACCTGCATTTTTATAAAATATATTTTTATTGATTTCAGAGAGGAAGGGGGGGGGGGAGGGAGAGACATTAATGATGAGAGAGAATCATTGATCGGCTGCCTCCTGCACGCCCCCAACTGGGGATCGAGCCCACAACCAGGCATGTGCCCTTGACCGGAATCGAACCTGGGACCCTTCAGTCCACAGGCCAATGCTCTATCCACTGAGCCAAACCAGCTAGGGCACCTGCCTATATTTTATTTGCTATATACCCATGGGTAATTCTTCCCAAATGTTCCACATGATCAATTACTTCAAAATACAATTTTCCTCATAGTCCAAACATCAGATCACTTCAGTTGCACTTCTTTTCTGGAAGATCTGCCTCTGAGAACCTACTCCTCCTGAGCTGCTGCTTCCTGGGCCTGCCACACAACTATCAACCTAGGCCTCCCCATGACTATGCCCTCTTTCTCCATTTTCTCTCCCATGAGTTCAAGGACTCCGTGCTATAATTCCTACCCTAGATGTCCAAGGACTCTGTGTCAAAGCTCTGCAAGTGATGAGGTTTTTTAATGTGGACTTTTATTTCGCAAACAGTATTTGGCTTGTCTTGAAGAATCAACTCTTGCCGTGATGATTCACAACTGAAAAGACATTTTCAAGATTAAGACTTTAGTTTCTTAATCTAGAATTTCTCCAGGCATATTCTCAGACATCCGGGGTAGTATCTTTTCCTTTAAAAAGAGTTAATTTGTATACTAAAGTGTGAGAAACATCTTAACTGAAAGTCATGGTCTTCTAACAGTGCCCTCTGGACTCCAGCTGCAGGGGGTGGGAGGTGGAGCTTATGGCAGGGGGAGTAGGGATAAGTGGTGCTTTTTGTCACCCAGACATTCAGCTACCCAATCTCCATGTGCAGTTGGTACACATACACACACACACACATGCACCTCACACCCATTAACTATTTCTTACACCTTTATTCTCCATTGATGTAAATAGCCAACCTCATTGTTATAGGCTATTCTTCATCTGGGCCTAATTATAAACAGTCATTCTCTACTAAATAATTGGGCTTTTTTTCTTAAATAAACTTTTAATTTAGGATCGTTTTAGATTTACAGAAAATTTGTGAAAGTAGTAGAGGGGATCCCCATTTATCCCAAACCCAGTTTCCCCTATTAGTAACATCTTACATTAGTGTAATACATTTATCACAATTAATGAACCAATGTCCATACATTGTTATTAACTAAAGCCCATACTTCAATCAGATTTCCTTAGTTTTTACCTAATGTCTTTTTTCTGTTCTAGGATCCCATCCTGGATACCACATAGAGTTGAGTCATCATGTCTCCTTAGGTTCCTCTTGGCTGTAACAGTTTGTCAGATTTTCCTTGGTTTTGATGACCTTGACAGTTTTGAGGAGTACTGGTCAGGTATTTTATAGAGTGCCTATCAATCTGGATTTCTCTGATGTTTTTCTTATGATTAGACTAGGGCTATGGGATTGGGGAGGAAGACAGACAGTTAAAGTGCCTTTGTCATCCCATCATATTGAAGTTACATACTATATCAACATGACTTCTCACTGTTGATGTTGATCTTGATCATCTGGCCAAAGTACTGTTTGTCAGATTTCTCCACTGTAACGTTACTCCTTGTCCCCCCCTTTCCATACTGTACCTTTTGGAAGGAAGTTACGCTATGTAGCCTACAATGAATGAATGGGGACTTATTCCCCCTCCTTCCTTGAGGAGAGAGTATCTACATAAATTATTTGGAATTCTTCTGCACAAGAGGTTTTCCTGTTCCCTCCCAGTTATTTATTTTGTTAATCATTTGTATCAGTATGGACTTGTGGATATGTATAGTATACTTTGGGTTATAATTCAATACTACTTTATTTTGTTGCTCAAATTGTTCTAGCTTTGGCCATTGGGAGCTCCTATGTCCTTTATACATATCCTTATTAGTGTGTGTTTGTGTTGTTTTTGAGGGCCTCTTTACTTTTTTGGCACTTGAAGATGCCCAGGCTCATCTTGTATATTTTAAATACCTATTTTCACAAATAATGTGCCTATTAGAATTAACTACTGTTTTATTTTATAGCGTAGGACCTAGAACAGATAGTTCACTTGTGAAGGATTGAAATAGATATTAATAAAATTTTTCCAAAGTATCTGCTCTCCTTCCTCTAATTCTTACCTTTGTAAGAACCATAAACTAGGGCCAGAAACCTCAGAATCTCCTTCTGCTTCCTTTTATGCTCAACCACCCTCTTTCTTGTCAATTTGACTGTTTTCAAATGTTTGCCTTCCTTTTCATCCCATCGCCAGTGCTCAGTTCAGACCCCTGGGCCTCCCAAGACTGCAGCAAAAGCCTTTTCTCTGCATGGTTTCCTAGGTCCACTCACTTTGCTGACACATCCACCCCTTTCCCTTCTGCAAATTATCATAAGACATCTGTTAGCTCTTTACTTAGGATGGCCCCCACTGAGATTGGCATCCAAGGCCTTCCACGAGTATGGTTCCATTCAGCTGCATCTCCCAGGATGCCTCACTCCGGGCACTCTGCCCTGACTACCCTGACATACTGGGCCCTCACCATGGGATTAACAGTCCAAAGGGCCCTAACCTCTATCCTCAGCCTGTTGGACCCAGCACAAGGTCCAGTTCTTCATCCCTAGGTGCTCTCACTGGATTCCACTTATACCCCTATTGTAGCCCACGTCAGTCTCCATCTGGTCTACAGTTGTAGATCTGTCTCTCCCACTAGATTGGAAGCCCCTTATGGGCAGGGGCCTGTCTGTCTTATTAACCTTTATTCCCCTCGTGGTGTCTGGCTCGGGATTCCACAGTCAGAGGCAGTTCAATATCCGCTGAACTGATGGATATGCTCATACCCTGTATATTCACATGCCTTGTTTTGCTCTCAAACACCAGAGGGCACTGTTAGCATGTTGTGGAGGAAGACCATAACCCTTTAGACCTAGAAGGTTGAGAGTGGCTAGTGAAAAGCTTGCTTCTATTTTTGGATGCACAGGATTTACTGCTCTTCACTTGTTTGAATCACATCCCTTTGAGTTTATTCATGAATTGTGCTCCTGTTGTGTTTAGAGATTATTATGAGAGTTAGTAATGACACTTCCATCACAGGTCAAATCCTCAGGCAGGATTGCATTCATGGTCTCTCCAGACCCACAGTAGCCCTTCTAACCCAGCTGCCCTCCTTTCATCCCCAAGATGGGGACTGCCAGTCCCGAGGGGTATGCGGTGATATAGATCTGTCCCTCTTCTGCCCAGCCCTCCCACCACACGTGCATTGGCACCGTGGCCTGTGGGTGGTGGTTTATAAGCTCTAATGACCTTTGGGCAAGGTGGGAGATTGTTAAGAAAAAGAGCACCTACATTGGCCCTGACCCCAGGGCCACTGCATTAGCTCCCTATGTATTCCCAGGCTGGCTGAAGGTGAGTTGCAGCATCATGGGGGCCCCCAGTTCTGAGAAGGCTCCATCATGACTAAGCCAGGGTGCCCCATTCCAGAGAAGTTGGCTATTTGCAAAGGTCTCATACCTTGTACATTTTGCCCCCAAAAAGCAACATGGAAATTAGAGGCCATAAAATCAAAGAGTTGATGTTTTTCAGAAAACAAACAAAAAAATTGTCTTCCCTTCTCCCTAGCAAACCCCTCCAGCCCTGGGGTCCCTGAGCAATGGGACAGCGTGAGGCT